AACCAACTACAAAACCAAAATCAAGATCAAGAACAAGATCAAAACAAACCCAAACACCAAAACCAATTTCAAAAACAAAATCAAAACCAATATCAAAACCAAGATCAAAACCAAGATAAACTCAAATCCCAACTTCAGCTCCAATACCACCAACTCCAACTCCAACTTTAATACCAAATCCACAACCAACACCAAAACCAAAAACTAAACCAAGACCAACTCATCCAAAAATATAAAATTCAAACAAAACACAATCCCATTACTTACATTACCAACCCCTCAAAAAACACCAATACAAAAATCAAAACCAAGATCAACACCTCAATCAACACCTAAACACATATTATTCCCAGTATAATAATAATCAATCATTTATATCAAATTATGATACAATTCAATCTAATTGACTTTTGAGCATACCAACTTTGTTCTGGCCAAGCAACTTGGTATACCATCAAAACCTTTTAGATGAATAAAACAATCGTAGCTCCATTATAACACGTGTACTGGTAGATCATTAATATCTGTTGAAAGAACTCACCAAGTCAGAAGGTGAAAGTTAAGCTCTTATCCCTACCAATCAAAAGATTTCATTGGTATTTTTATATTATATATTAGTTCACCATCAATTATAATAATTAAATTAAAAAACAACAATTAGTATGTTCAATTTAATTATTATCAATTCAGATTTCATTTTTATATTTCATAAAGAGTTAGTTATATATAAGATAATATATTAATAAATAAATAAAGATTAAAAATTTATAACATATTTTTCTTTTTTTAAGTAAATTAATTTATAAAATTTTTTTTATTGGTTTTTATTTTTTTTTAAATTTACTTAATTATTTTATTTAATTGATTTTTTAAAAAAAATTAAACTATAAAAATCCAAATTTTTAAAAATCTAAATCCTAAATTTCATTTTTTTCGTGTATAATACTTTATTTGTAAATCATTATTTAAAGATTTAATATATTAAAAAAAGGCAAATATAAAAAAATCAAAAAAAAAAAAATCGATAAAGTTATTGAGCTGAATACAGATAAAAAATATACAACTACACACAATTCTCAAAGAAACTATTATTTTTTTTTCTATCAAAACACTAATTCCTGAATTTTAAATTTATAATCAAAAAAACAATGAAAAAATAAAATTAAAAATTATTATTTTTAATTTTTTTTTTTTTTTTTTAATTAATTTTTTCAAAATTTTTTTTTTAAATTATAATTAATAATGATCCCAAGATATAAAATAAGTAATACCACCTCTATAATAAATAATATATATAATAAATACTTTTACTGTACAAAAACTAAAAAATACAATGTATTAAATAAAAATAATAATTTTAACTTTAATTTCATAAATAACAATAAAAATAATAATAATCATAAAAAAGTAAACAATTTATCAAATAAAAAAATAAACTATAATAATCATTATGAGTCATATGACAAGCCATGGCACGAGTTTGAAGGTTTCGAAAATATTCCAGTTTTAAGTACAGGTGTATTAAGTTTAGACTACAATTTAGAAATAGGTGGATTACCATTGAATCATATTACAGAAATTTTTGGTGACACTTCGACTGGTAAATCTACATTTGCATATTTATTAATTTCAGCTTTTCAACAAAACAATAACAATAATGGTAGTAGTAATAGTAGCGATGATAACAGAATACTTTATATTGACAGCGAAAATTCATTCAATTCAGAATGGGCCATAAAAAATGGTATTGATTTAAATCCAAATTTTACAATTTATCAACCTGACAATGCAGATGATGCATTCTCTTTAATAAAGAATTCAATAGAGGCTCAGTATTTTAAAGTTATTGTATTGGATAGCATCAGCTCTCTAATTCCACTAGATGACCTAAATACAAGTTTAGAAAAACAAAACAATAGTGCAAATCTAGATTGGATCTTTTCAAACCTAAAAGAAATTTCATCGCTTATCAGAGATTCAAATTGTTGCTTAGTTTTCACAAATCAATTAAGATATAAGTTTATAAACAATAAGCAAGATGAGAGTGATACTGGTGATAGTGGCAATATTGATAAGGTTCAATATGAATTAACTTCTTTTGGTAATTATTTTATTTTTCTAAAGATAAAGTTGTTATATAAACTAATATTATTTCTTTATTGTTTATAGCAAATTCAACACTAAATCAATTTGTAGATATTGCATTAGAGTTAAAAAGAGACAGATTTTTAATAAACCAAGAAAATAAAATTATAGGGATTAAAACTTTTATAAACATCAAAAAAAATATGTTGTTTCAGCATGGAGAATTTTATTCGCCCGATAGCAAAACCCAAAAAACAATCAATAATAAAATGTACAAAAAACAATTAAACAAATTTCAACCATTTATAGATATAAATTTTCAAGATGGTATTCAAAAAGAAAATGAAATTGTAAAGTTATCCAACGAATTAGGTCTAGATCATACAAACAGTAATATTGTAAACGAAATAAAATCTAAATTATTTAATAAATAAAATCTTAAATCTATATTTAGAAAAGGAAAAAAAAGCTTTATTGGAAAATTTTAAAATTATTTTTGTAAATTGGGTTATTTAAATTATTAATTAATTCTAATGTGATTATAGAGGATTGAGTTAATGATTTTAGTTGTACATTTTTAATTAGATAAAAACCATTTGAATAGGATTTACCAATCCATTTGTTATCTATATAAATATTTGTATATTTAATAGTATTGCTGTAGCTGCCGGTTGAAATACCCTCAACGTTCCAATTTAAAATTAAATCGTAGATATCTGAATTACTGTAGTTTTCTGTCATACTATATATATTCCAAACTTGGTCAATATCCAGATTTGAAATTTTTATATTATTGCCATTATTATTATTATTATTATACAATTCTAATGTTATTTCACCTAAATATATATTATATAGATTATTGGTCTCTTCTTTTGGTGATGATATTGAATAGCCTAAAGATTTAATTTCTTTTAGTTTTAAATTTTTTAAATTGAAAGAGTAGTCATCTATATTTAAGCTAAACTTTGAGTGGTGCCATTCGACTGAATTACCATCAATATCAGTTCCGATAATGACTTTGTCTTCAAATGAATCATTGATTGTTTGATCTTCATAGCTGTTGTTAATGTTGAATGGAAGCTTTTGCTCTTGATCTTTAATGGAACTTGGGTGTAAAATAATATTGATTTCTTTATTTTCATTTTCATCTGATAAAACTAAAATTAAACAAAGTCTATTACCACTATTACTGTTTGCACTCCATGTAAATGTTACCAATAATGATTCTTCTACATCCTCTTTTTGGCTTGGACTTGATAAAGGTACGTCAATTTTAAAGAGAGTTGAAATTGTAAAGTTTTGATTTAAATTCAAATTTGATACAGAGCTAAGAGTATTTTTATTTATAATTAAAATACTGCTACTTGAAGGACAACTATTTAATTTGCCCTTAATGTTTAAACTTGAACCACCTTGAAAAGATAAATCATATGATGTTGAATAATAGATTAAATTTGAACCAAATTGATTTCTATAGTCTTCACTAGAATCAGTAATATCTTGATCAGATAGATTAAACCATGCAGATTTATTTAAGATCAAACCTTTTTCCCAATACTTTTTACCTTTTCCTCTATTAAAGCTGCTAGAGAATGGTAATGATACAACTGGGATTCTTTCATTTGTAACAGATCTAATTGATGGCTCGTTAGTTAAATTGTTATTTAATAAAACTTGTACATAGAAACCAGTTAAAAGGATTTCGCAGTTACTATCATTACCAATATTTTCATTTGACCCAACTGTAACCTGGATATATTTAATAGATTCTTTATAGTCCGAAATATTGGTGCTATATTTTCTAAATTCTCCTAGGGTGGCAAGACTACCATTAATTTGATCCAGTAATACTGAAACCTGTTTAATTAGTCGATTATTTTCATCTAGTATTGACAATGAAACTGTGTTTGATTGGTCTGGTTTTAAAAATTTATAATAAAATTCAAATTCTATGATTGGTATTTGCTCTAATAAATCTTTTGAATAGAGTGAGTGTAAATCTATTACTTTTTTAAACTCTGTGATATTTGATGAATCTAGTGCTCTTGCTCTACTAAATGTAAAACAATTACCACCATTCAAACCGCTACCATTTGAAACGGACCATTTATAATAAGAGTTTTCGTTGGTTAAAATCTTCCAGTCTTTGAAATCACCATTCTCTGCTGAAGAGTTGTTTCCCAATATGTTTCTAACACCATTATTACCAAGCCATAATGTTCTTTCTTTTTCGATTATTGACTTATTTGATGATGGTGTTGATTCAAATGTCCATCCAGGAGCAAAAATTGCACTTGATAAATCATTTTTATTTGCTTCATTTAAACCGACTGATGTATTAAAATTACCTCCACCAAATGTACCTCTTCCCCATACAGTGGTCCAAGGCTGAACATCTAAATTTCTTTGTTTAATTTTTTCTGGTTGTTGATCCAGTAATTCTTTTGATTCTTTTAATAATTTTTCATTCCATGTATAGTTTAAAAAGATTCCATCGCAACTATTAAAATACTCTATATTTTCGTTGGTTAGTGCGTTTTGCCATTTTAACTCACCACTTTGAGTTACACTATCATACCAAATTACCAATGATCCGGGGATAGCCTTGTGCATTTCTTTGGTTAGATCGCTGAGGAATTTCTGATATTTCAAAACAATCGTACTGTCTTGTAATAAAGCTGTTTCTAAATTTAAAAACCATCCATCAAATTTATAATATTTACAAATCTCAACTAATTTTTGAATAAAGTAATTTTCTTGTTCTTGGCCACTTTCTTGACAATTATCTTGAATACCATTTACTATTAAACAGGCCTCTTTGTAACTTTGTTCCCATTCGAATATTATAGTACCCAGAACTTTGACACCATTTTTATGTGCAGTATTTACCCATGATGCAGGTGGTAACGAAATTCTATGATGAGAAAAATAAATGAAAATATCTATTAAATTCCAATAGTAAAAATTGTAAGAGCCTAAAAATATTTCTTCTACTTGGTCACCATTACTTCCAATATTTGTATTTGTATTATAATAGAAACCTTGTGGGTATCTGTCAAGTTGGTAACCATTTTTCATATCATGACAATGAATTCTTCTTGGATCTAATGAAGATTTTATTTTTCTATTTTGTAATGGTATATCTGATATATTTAGTTTAAAAAAGTTACTATTGTTATTAGTTGGTATTGTATTTGAGAAACTTTTATTAATGTTTTTATTATTATTATTATGAGTATGATTATGATCATGATTTATTGGTTTATTTTCTTTCCAATTTATTAACTCTAATAATGAATCTAGTGGTTTAACAGTCTCTCTTAATGAAAAGAAGTTTTGTAAATTTCTATTTTGTAAATTTGGTGGATAGGTTGGAGTGAATGTTGATGTTGATAATAATGAAAATGTGTCATGTCTATCATTGAAATGAATTGTTAAATTTGAATAGATAATTTGATGTAGCATTTCTTTATTTCCTAAAACCAATGGGCAATTTGATATTTCAATCTCTTTTTCAAATTCAAATTGTTTATAAATTTTAAAATTTAAATAAATTTCGGTAGATTTTAATCTATTACCACTTTCATTAAAATTTAATTTAAATATTAAAAATTCCCTATATAAAAAAAAAATAAAAAAAATTTGTTAATATTAAATTTTTCTATTTTATAAATAGTTATAAAATATATTAACTTACCAATTATAATATTTTAATTCATCTTTATTTTGATGATAAACTGATTCTAATGATGTTCTATTTGGAGTATTAATGTTGTATAATCTTTTATCAAAAAGCTCATTTCCTAAAAAGATGCCCAATTCTAATTTTCCATCTGATTGTTTTTGTGATAAAATTCTATTTGTATGATTAATAGAATCACTACTATTATTGCTATTGCCATAGAGTAAATGATTATCGTCTAATGGCTCCATATAAACCCATGTTGAAAAAGATATTGATTTGTATACATGATGATTAAAATTCTTTTCAATACTTGAATTTTCTTTAACTATATTTCTCCATGGTATTGTAATTTCATTATTATTATCTTTATTTCCTAAAATAATTTGATCAAATAGTTTATATGAATTCATATTATTTAATAAAAATAATAAATATAAATATAAATATAGTTAAATAAAATTTTTAAAGAAAATTATTTCTTTATTTATGATGTGGTGGATAAAAAATTATAAAAAAAAAAAAATTTCATTTATTAAAATTTTTTTTTTTTTTTAAATTTTTTTAAAATTAATTTGTTGAAAAAAAAAAATCATTTATTAAAAAAAAAAACCAAATAAAGATGAGCAGTCTTTTAATTGAATCAACACATACATCAGTTCAAGATGACTTAAAGAGCAATATCGAAAAGAATCATCCAGTTAAATCAAAAACAGTTTCAAAAAAAATTAATAATATAGATACCGATATTGCCATTTCAGTATTTGCAGATACAGTTTTTATAACCATCAGCCAAAATCAAAAATTCAATACATGGGTATGACTTTAGGATACGGAAAGTAATAATAGCAACAATAACAATAATACTAACACAACATTATTACTATTAAATAGATTAAAGCATATAAAAGTGAAGGTGTACTTTTAGATGAACCATCCTATCAAGTCGATGTATTATTAGGTTCAAATCAAGATACTTTGCTTGGTATTTATGCAAGACAATTAATTGAAAATATAGGTTTATCAAGTAGAAGACAATTATTACTTTCAATTTCGATAACTGATAAATCAAAAGATTCATTTAAACAAATTTTACAAACTATTTTTGATAATAAAATTTGGTAAAATAAAAAAAGAAAAGAAAAGAAAAGAAAAAAGTTATTTGTAAATAAATATTTTCAAAAAAAAAAAAAAAAAAAGAATTTTATTTATATTTCTTTATTATTTATTATTATAGGAAATTTATACTATTTAAATTTTGGGTGCACACTAAATAATTTATACAATTTATACATTTATTTTTGTTTTATATTCTTTTTTTTTTTTTTTTTTTTTTTTTTTTAGTTTGAGGATGGATCTGACCAATTTACACTGAGCTTTTCTTCAATACCTTCTTGGTTACCAATCATCTAATTAAAATAAAATAAAACAATATTAGTATGTTATTTTTTTTTTTGGTTATTTTTTGTAAGAAAATATTTACATGAAGGAATTCATCAAATGAAATTCTACCGTCTTTATCCTGTATTACATTAAATGAAGTAAGAGTGGGTTAGTATTTAATATTTTATTTATCTATTTTTGTGTGTGTTAGAAAAACTTACAAAATCGCCCTCAATAATAGTTTTATCTACAATTTGTTGAAGTTGTACATCATTTAAATTTGTGCCAACCATCATCTTTAAAACTTGGAATAATTCACCATTACTAATGTATCCGTCACAATCCATATCATAAATTTGGAAAAGGACTATAATTATATAATTTTAATTAAAAAAATGTTAATACTATATTATTATTATACTATTATAATTGTTATTATTATTATTATTGTTATATATACATTTTAATTTATCTTCTTTAGTTCCTTTGTGTGAAAGTGTTCCTAATGTACTAACAAATTCTGAAAATTCAATTTCATTATCTTTATTTTGATCAAAAATTTGAATTACACGTTCTAATAAAGGGTTTAATGCTAAATCTGGGATGGATAAAAATTCGTCAGTTGTTAGTGTACCTGACCCATCTTTATCTAACATTTGAAACCTTCTATATAATCTTTTAAGTTCAGCTTCTGAAACTAATAATTTTATTAATACCAAAATTATTAATTAATTAATTTATATTTATTTATATTTATTTATTTAATTGTTTATTTGTTTTTTATTTATTTTTTAATTTATTAATTTAAACTTATTATTATTATTATTATTATAAGTATCTTTATATTTGTTTAATATTTTTTTAATTATTATTATTTAATTAATGTTATACATACAACTTGTGCTGTCTTTCATTTGGTCTAATTGTTCTTTACTCATGAGTGATTGATTATTTCCCATTTTTTTTTTTTTTTTTTTTATTTATGTTGGTTTTTTTTTTTTTTTTTATAAATTATAAATTAAAAATAAAAATTAATAAAAATTAAATTATTGTGATATTCTGGGATCAAGAAGTTTTATAAAGTGTGTATGTGTGTAGTTGTGGGGGTGTGTTTTTGTTTTTTTCTTGGGTTAGTGTTATTTATAATTTTTGGAAATAAAAAAAAAAATATTAAAAAAATATTAAAAAAAAATTTAAAAAAAAATAAAAAAAATTAAAAAAAAATTAAAAAAAAAAATTAAAATAAAAAATATTAATTTAAAAAGAGTTATTTATATGATTTTTAATTTTATATTAATTTAAAAAATATATTATTTTTAAAAGGATATTTTCATAAAGTTATAGCGTTTATTTACTATTTATATAAATACCTTTATAAAATTATTAAAGACAATAAAAAAAAAAAAAAAAAAAACTAAATTAATAAAAAAAAAAAAAAAAAAAAAAAAAAAAAAGAATTTAAAAATCTGTGCACTTCTCCGGTTTTTTTTTTTGATTTTCAAATAAACAGAGATTCTGACAGATTTTTTAAAAAACACTTCAATATTCAACAAAAAATATTTAATTGAATAAAAATAAAAAATAAAAATAATTTCCGTTCCCCAGTGAGTATGAAAACCTTAAATAAATTATTAATTATATTTTAAATTAATATATTTTATTGGATAAGATCAACATATGCTAGGAATTAAAAAAAAAAATTAAAGAAACAAATCTCAACATTTAATAGCTTTTTGTTATTAAAATATTTAAATATTGTATCAATAATTATTTTAAATAATCATTTTGTAATTACTTATTTTAAAATTAAATTATATTTATTTGTTTTAAAAAAAAAAAAAAAGAAATAAAAACCTATTAAAGATTGTTATAATAAAAGAGTATAAAATTAAATTATATTTGAAAATATCAAATTTTTTGCTTCTTCATTTTTTTTTGTTTTATTCATTATCCACCAATTTTTGTCCTATACTTTTTAACCTTACCAATTAAACTGTATTATAAATTGTATATTATTTTAATCATTTAATTTTTAAATATATTTTTTTAATTTTTTTATTTTAAAAAACTATAATGTTTTAAAATTTAACTCTAAAGATGCCCGAGTTTAAAATCTTTCTGCATTTCTTAAAATTTAATCTTCCTTATGACTTCAGTTTTATCTAAAAAAAATTATTTTTCATCAATTTGACAGCTTAGCGAAGTGGTCTAACGCGTCTGACTTGAAATCAGATCTCCTCGGAGGCGCAGGTTCGAACCCTGCAGCTGTCGATTCTTTTTTGGAGATTTAATCTTCCCGGTGTTTATCTTTTGGGTGATTTTTCGTGGATTCGCAAGTTTTTGTGTAATGTAGATGGAGCTACTTTAGTTAACGCTCCTTGAGTTTTCTGGATTTCATATGAACCAACCTGTTTCGGCTTGAGCACCCTTGATTCATCAAACTATACTTGCTTACTTTCGAACTCTGTAATACTTAAACATACTAGTTCCATTGCTATACCTTTATACATTGGACACCCTAGGAGCTCCTTTTGAATATTAACTGATTATACCATCATAACTGCAATATATTTGACTTCCGAATCAGCTCTAACAATTGATATTAATTAATTAATAAATTTTTTTTTTTACTATCACCATAAAATAAAATTTCATTTTTTAAATTTTTCAATTTAATTTATTTTTATTTCATTTTTAATTTTTAATTTTAAATAATAAAAATTAAATAAATTTTTTTTAGTTAAATAATATAAAATTTATAATTTATTTTTATATTTTTTCTTATCAAGTATTCTCGAAAATTTTATAGTTTGGATTATTTGTTGATTAAAATACAATATAATGGCTCTCTGCTATTGAATTTAGCTTGGTTTTCTAAATCATTTGGATCGGGTAGAGCTTTATAATCTATACCTTGCATCAACGGTCTAATCTGATAGACTGTATCTTCCGGCTCGAATGAATCATCTGTTATTTCTTTTAGTAGGTGATTGATTGGTATGAATGTATGAAAAAGGCTTATAAATTGAATATGTTATAAAATAAATCTACCCTTCTAATTTCTAAAAAATAAAAATAATTCTTCTAAGCAGTCACTGGGGCAGTTATTGAAGTGATTTGTAAAGTCTATACTATCATTATTATTATAAACAATTTAAAAAAATTTATTGAAAATGTGCTAAAGTTGAGTTTAAATATTCTATTAGCTGTATTAGATTTTCCTTTGTTTTAAATTTTCGATGAACTGTTTACTATTTATTAAACATAGATATTATAGATATTTATTGATTCGGATAAATAAAGAATTAAAATTTAACTATATTAAAATTAAATATAAGTTTCTTTTATTTAAACATAATTATAATTAATTTAATTATATCATTATTGTTACCTTTATATTTTGCTTTATTTGATATTTAGATTTTATTTGTACATTTTAGCTTTTTTTAAAAGATTTGAACTATATGATGCATTTTTTGTCTAAAGTCTCTTATCAAACATGCAATATTTATTATTATGTTGATGATATTTATTATTATGTTGATGATAATGTGATTATTTCTGAATTGTAAACTATTTTTATCGATTTTAATGAATTATTTGAATAAAACGATTTAATTAATAATTTTTTAGCCATCTATTTAGTTTCTTAAAAAAAATAATTGACTTTTGCTAAATTATTTCAACAAAATTTTTTTTTTAAAAATTCGAAAAAAAATATAATTTTTATTATTTTTTATTTTTTCAAAATTTCTATTTACCTCAAATATTATGATTCCCATCAAAGAATAACAGAACTCAAGGTTGATTTACCTTATTTTATCACAACACAATTTGTGGATAAACATAACAAAACAATTGTTTTGTTACAAAAGGTAATACAAAAACGATCGAAGAATGGGTCAAGAGACATTGGTGAGGTACATATAAAAATTACCTAGATAAAAAGGAAAGAGAGCAAAAGTCAGCACCAAGGGTCTAGGAGTTCAATAATAAAGTAGAAAAATCAGATAAACCAACTGATGAAGAAAGGGTTAGGAAACCCTTTGTTAAATGGAGGCTATCATGCTTTTATTGCAAAAAAGAAGGACATGTCAGGAACAGTTGTCCAGATCTCGTAAGCCTACTAGTTTTGCAATGGGTGTGCGAATAGGGAAATATTATTTAAGTGCATTGATAGATACTGGTTGTAATGTCAATTTATTAAACAACAAGTATTGTGATGGGTTAAGAAGTATAGTAAAAGATATCAGAGTCAGGTATCCAATTGGTGATGTTTATAGGGAAGACTTTGCTAAGAAAAGTGTGGAGGCTACTGTTCAATTTAAAATATTGTATGGAAAGATGTCAACCGAAATGAAGTTTTATGCAATCAACATGGAGCATGATATGGTAATCGGGTTGGATTTTTTGGGAGATTCGGTATAGTCCTTAAGTATTGAAGATCCACACATTATAAAAATATTTAGGGATGCAGATAATGAAAAATTAGCTCATAAAGTAAAGTTAACCTTATTCGAAAAGGATAAGAAGGTCGTTAATAATCATTCGAAGGTGGTAGTTTTAAAGATCTACAGGTGAATAGTAGAATGTTAATGTCGATGAAGACTTTAGGAATAACCGTAATGAAAGGTGCGGTTGTTAACAACAAAACAAGTGATCAAGTTGAAAAAACAGATAAAGTAGTTAGTGAAGTAGCATCTAGCAAGGTGGTCCCAAAGGTAGTGGATGAATTAAATAAAGATAAGCTGGATGCGAAAATTAAAGAATATACAGATTGGGTTAATAATAGTTTCAAGGATTTTTACAATTTAGGAATCTTTACCAATGCTTAATGCAGATGAGCTTTTATATAAAATGAGAAATGCTAAGTACATTTCTTAATTAGATTGGAAATCTGGGATCCATCAATTGTTATTACATCCAGACGATCGTCATCATACAGCTTTTAGAGCCGGTGGTGAACAATTGTATCAATTCACTAGAGCTCCTTTTGGTTTGAAGAACTCTCCAGCGTATTTCAACAAGTTCGCTCAATCAGTTTTGGAAGGATTTGAAAAGTTTTAGTTACGATAGAGGAACATATGGGACATATTAAGATGGTTTTGGAAAGATGCAGGAACAGCAAGGTCTTTTTAAACAGCAAGAAATGCCAATTCTTTTGTATTGAAGTCGAGTTTTTGTGTCATGTTATTAGCGCGGAAGGAATTAAGGTTAGAGGTTCAAAGATAGCAGCCATTCAGGAGTATCCTAATACTTTGACGATTTATTAATTCATACTCGTAAAGAATATCACAAACATGTAGTTGAAATCTTAAGAATGTTACTGTATTGCAGAAAGTATGTGATATATATTGCAAAGAATAAATCACCAATCAATAATGCACCACAAATCAATAATAACAACATCAACAATAAAAAACAAAATATCCCAAGAAGCAGAGTTACCAACCTACCAATTCATTATTAAACAGAATCAGTTTTGGATATTTAAGTTTAAACTCTAACATTGAAATAATAGATGACAACAACACTCACATAGATAAAGACTCAATATATGATAATAACCAATATCAATCAATATACATAGATCCAAACTCACCTAAAAAGGGGGTTAACAATCATATATATAATTTATAAATATGATAATAAAAATAAATCAATGGAACGTCAGAGGATGGGGAATTGATGCTACATTCAATAACAAAAATAACTATATAAATATTCACTCACCCCAAATATCCAACTCAATAACAATAGTAAACGAACTTAACTCAAACCAACAATAATAATCGACATTAATTAATAATAATCAACAATTTGTAATGTATTCATATGCATTTTAGAATTAAATGAATATTACAGTTATAGTTATATCTCAACTAAATAATATATTTATATTTTCCTTTATTTTAAATTAAAAATTAAAAATAAAATAAAAATAAAAAAATTGAAAAATTTAAAAAATAAAATTTTATTTTTTAGTTTTCAGTTTTCGGTTTTAGTTTTCACAAACAAATAATTGTATATTTATTTGATTATTAGAATTATTTATATTTATTATTTATCTATAACTAAAGTAGCTCCATCAACATTACAAATTATTTGTAATGTATTATCATCAAAATTCACTTAATTAATTAATTATAACTTAAATAGTCATTTAATCAAACAATTATAATAATTAATAATTTTAATAATTAAAAATAATTTAATTTTAAAAATAAAAAATAAAAAAATAAAAAAATAAAATAAAAAATTTTCGAATTTTTCGTTTTATTCAATTTTCTCATAAACTTAAAAATCATATAATTTATTATCTTTATTTTTATTGTTTATTAATTATTTATTTATACTTTAAAGTTCATTTACATTACATATTTTAAAACTTAAATCCATTAAAAAATCGCCCAAAAGATAAACACCGGAAAGATTAAATCTATAAAAAAGTATCGACAGCTGCAGGGTTCGAACCTGCGCCTCCGAGGAGATCTGATTTCAAGTCAGACGCGTTAGACCACTTCGCTAAGCTGTCAAATTGATGAGTTTTTTTGAAATTCGTTCGTCCGCGATTTACCGCAATTAATATCAAATAATAAAATACTTGTTAAACTTTTTTTCATTCAAATTGACGGGATATCGATTAATATTTGAACTAAATGGGGTATTTATATTACAATTGGCCAGTTTGGAAATAAAATCAGAGAAATCAAGAGTAAATAAAGTTAAGTGTAATTTAATAAAAAAAATTAGTGAATGTTTAATTGTTTTTTTTAAAAAACAAAATAACTTTTTTTAAAAAAATTATTAGGGTGCAAATAGATACATTGCAATTTTCTTTTTACACTCCTTTGCCTCATATTGTTCAAATTAATTTTTAAAAATTAATTATTTTTGGAAAAAAACAATTAAAAAAAAATAGTTGTAAAAACAATAAATTAAATAGAGTACATGTATTGTAAACTTAATAATAATAATGATATACATGTTGATTGGACTTTATTTATAAATTTAAATTAGAAAAGCATAACATGTTGTGGATTTTTTGGTTCAGAGGTACCACAACAATCTGATGGGGGTTGGTTATTTGGTACTACAAAACTAGTTTTATTATCATCAAATTTAATTGTTTCCCCAGAGTTTTGATTGTTAACTAACTGGTTTTCCCCATTAACATTATGTTGAACTCCACCAATTATTTGTAAGCAACCTATAATAGAAATTAAAATTATTATCAAATTATTAATAAAAATATGATAAAATTTATGTAAATTTTTTTATTTATACAATACGAATTAAAGTCATTTTTTATAGTATGTATTAAATTTTTTTTTAATATGTATTCCTTCTAATTAATATTTTATTTAAATATTTTTTTTTAAAAAGAAAATAGTAAAAAAAAATTAAAAAAAAAAATTAAAAAAAAAATTAAAAAAAAATAATTAGTAATATAAATATAGTTAACCGGTTTTTGGACATAATAAAAGAATTTATATTAAAATATGTACGATCAAATCATGATATATCCCAAATAGTTATATTGCCCATTAAATTTGAAAATTAAACACACCATTTTTTGGAAACTTTTTTTAAAAAAAAAAAAAACTATATTTATTATTTTTGTGTTTGCACAATGTTATACAATTTCATAAATTATTTAATATTTATTTACAAATAGGAAAAAATAAATCTTTTAAAACATTATTAAAAAAATAATATTTAATCCAAATTTAGATAATTTGTTTTTTTACATATCCAATTAAAACATAAATATTTATTTTTTGAATTTTTTTTATGTGCTGATAGTGTGTTAATGTGTGTTAGTTTATGTGTGTTTAATTATATTTTTAACCACTTTGAAAATAAATATTAAAATGGAAGTTATTATAATACTAATTAATTTTTTCTGAGATTTGAACACTGGTAAATTATAATAATTTTCTATTTTTTTTAAATAAAAATATTTTTTTGAAAAACAAATGATCGTAAATTAAAAACTAAATTATTCTCTTCGATGCTGCTATTAACATAGATTATTAATTTTTATTTTTAATAGGTAGGATCTGGGATTGCAGAGTTGAAGAAACAAGTTAATATCGGCATTTTTTGTTTTTTATTTTTTTCAATAAGAAACCAATATCATCTTCAATGTCAGATTCTTTTGTTTCTTTAAGTTGGCAAACTTTAATATTTTAAATAGAACTATTTTATTTTGTTAGGCAAACTCTTTTCTTTCTCCACCACCCGTATTGACAAGTTTTTCATTTAAAAATCGTGTAAACCGTTGGCTAAGACAGCATTTACATTCTTCTCTGAAAGATTTGTTTTTAACCTACCATATTCATCGTTATATTCTATTAATATACTATTTTTAAATTATTTTTAGCTAATTAAATAACATCGACTCAATCAAAGAACAAACAAACAGTTTTTTAGAAGTAGATGATTTCCATAATTAAAAACATTAATAATAAAAAAAATATAATCAAATTATATTAAAAAAAAAAAAATTAAAAAGAAAAATAGATGGATATTTTTTTATGGCTATGCTTATTTTATTTAATATATTTTGAGATAGTATTTTAATGAGATCCTTTTGACTTCCTTTAATGAACCTGGTTTTATTCTTTCTTTTTTCTTCTTTAGGTTAAATGACCTGCAATTTTGGAAATGGTTGATTTTAATATATGTCGAGTATTCTTATACAACTATTTCTTAGTGATGATCGATTGGTTAATATCTGCAATTTTATGTTCAGGTTATAAGTGTTCCAACAAGCTATCAATTCTCTTTTTAAATTTTTATTTAATAACATAATTGATTTAGAAACTAAAAACAAATTAAATAAAAATGACGTATTTGATGAATAAATGAAAAAAAATTAAAATTAAAATTAACTTATACTAACTCTGATATATTTGTTTGTTAAAAAAGAGATAAGTATTATTAAATTAATATCTTTGTTAATATTTTAATTAAAAAATATATTTTTATTATTTTTTTTTAAAAAAAAAAAAAAATTTTTTTTAAAAATCAATAAATTAAAAAAATTTAATTAATTAATAATTTAAATATGATTAACATAAATTTCATTCCTTACATTCAAAGAGAAAATGGCCCAATAAAGAAATTTTGGGGTAATATAAATTATTATAATTTTTTTATTAATGCGGATCTATAAATTTATTACTATTTTGATCACAACTGTTTAAATTCATATAAAAACTGGGTTGCCATAACCCCCCTTTTTTTTTATAATCACTTTAGATTCATTTCTTTTTGTGGTAAATTTCATTTTTTTTTTTATTTTTTTTAAATTTTAATATTTTAATTTTTATTTTTTATTTTTTTTAAATTTCATTAAATTCATTTACATTTTTTTTTTTACAACTTTTTTTTTTTTTTTTTACAATATACTTTTTTTTTTTTTTTTTTTTTTTTTTTTCTTTTTTCTTAACCCCCAACTTTTTTTTTTTGTTAAAGTATTTTTTTCAAAAAAAAAATTTAATATCACCAATAGTTCTCAACATCACATCAAATAAATCACCATCAGATCAACCACTTTAATTCAATACAATAATGGATTTTTCAGATTTGGTAGTTTACTTTTTTATGGCAGTAATTAGTTTTTTAATTGGTTTTGTATATGATTGTTCAATCCTTTATATAAAATTAAAACAACAACAACAAGCCAGAAAAGATTTAGAAAAAGAACAATTATTAAAGATTTCAAATTTAAAACATCAAATTAATAAATTTGAAATAGAAAATAAAATCGATCATAATAATCTATCAATTGAATCAAAAAAACAAGAATTAATCGATCAAATAAATAAAAATGAGCTAGAAAAATTAATTAAAGTTACAGATGACCAATCCTTAGAAATTAACCAATTATTTAGTTTAATAAATCAACAAAAACAATCATCCCAAGTCAATGAAATTAAACAAGGTAGTTTGGTTAAAGAAATAGACTCTATCAAAATTGAGTTAGATAACCAAATTAGTAATTCAAATCAATTACAAGATCAAATATTAAAAAAAGATGAAATGATCCAATTGCTTGAAAGAAAGATTGAAGCAGAACGTCAATCTTTATACCAGCTCTCAAATGAACACATTCAAGCATTGGAGAAATTAAATTTTAAAGAAGGTCAATCAAAAACTTTAAATAAGGAAGAAAATGATGAAATTTCAGATATTGAAGAGAATGAAGACCATTGAAGTCTCATATTTAGGTGATCATAATTTGTTTCGAAGAAGAGTTTATTTTATATCAAGATAGATCAAATCCAAACATTGATAACCTTATTGATATTGATTCATATTGAAATCGATTGTGATAAAATTAATTCAATATCTTCTTTCAAGTTCGCATATGAAAATGAGGAAGACTAAATTATTAATTATATCGTTCCATTCTATGTTTCAATTTATGATTTTGATAAAGTTGCTAACAGTTATCAAGTGTATCATCAAAGAAATAATCTAATCTCAGAAATCGAAGAAATTATACACAACAGAAAAAAGCTCAAATATTATAATGTTCCAGTATCTATTTTATTAAATTATTAAGGTAACTATAAAGATTATATTTACATAATTATTATCTTTAAATATAAAAAAAACTAATATTTAATTTCAATACTTATTTCATTATTTTCAGTTTCAACATGTTCTTGTTTCAAATCACTTTTTCATTTAAAAGCTCGCAGTCAATTCACCACCACCACCACCACTTAGGGTCTTCAATTCCAGTGTTTTTAGAAAAGGCTCTCATTCAGGATTTTTATTTAAAAGTTCACAATTCACGCCCACCACTACCACTACAATCCTTCAATGGAATCACCATATTAAAAACTATTAATATCAAAAATTCATTACGATTAACTATAATAATTAAATTAAAAGTTTAATAAATTAAAAGATTTTATCAATTTTTATAACTTAATTCTTTATTTTATTTTGTGTATTATATTTTATTTTATAATATTTTAATCTTTTACGATAAAAAATCTGGTATTATAGGGTAATTCTATTTGATTAACGGTTTTATTACAATGATTTATGACTAAAAATTTCAAAAAAAAACTTTTTAAAAACTATGCCTCTTCAAATTGTGGATTAAATACTTTCATATCCTCGATTGCGAAATATTTGGAAACCACCTGCTAAGTAGTCGAGGAATTTATGTTTCTTTTCTATTTTGGTTTCAAAGAATCTTAAAATACCTGAATTATTGTAACCTGATTTGATTTTTTAATTGATTTTATAAAAATAAAATAAAATTATTTTTTTTTTTTTTTTTTTTAATTATTTTATAAAACTAACTACAGATAATGGTATCAGTAAAATTATAAAAACAAGTGGTAACGCAACAAACTTTCCATTCGATGGTGATCGAATCTATATTCATTTAATTGGCAAAATCATTGAAGGAACAATATTTGAAAACACTAGAGAGAAATCAAGCTTTTCAATTATTTTAGGTAGTCCAGAAGAACCAATCAAATGATTCAACTGTGCAATTAAATATATGAAAAAAGGTGAAATCTCAACATTTACAATTAGAGCAAAATATGCATATGGCAGCGCGGCAATGGTGACCTAATACCCTAATGAAACTTGTATTTATTTTTTTTTTTTTTTTTTTTTTTTTTTTTTTTTAAAAGTGAAGATGATTCTTAATGATATATTAAGTCATCAGTTTATTGTGTTTGGTATGTGTTTAATGCTTATATGAGTTTTACCACACTGCATACAAGTTGGGCACGGTAACGTCAAAATTAAAATTTTAATAAACACCGGGAAGATAAGGGTTTAAAAAAGAACTTAGCATCTGTAGGTTTCGATCCTACGACCTCAAGGTTATGGGCCTTGCATTCTACCCCTGAATTAAGATGCTATTTGTATATTTTCTTTAAAAAACCCCTCAATTTTGGCCGAAATTGATGTTTATCTGCGCATCAGCATGGGAAAGAGAAGTCAAAAATATTAATAGAATATATAAGAAACTTCATTATCAAGATCCAGCTAGTCAGAGACACCACAGAATGAAGATAGTTAACATGCTAAAGAAGATTGGCAAGATATGGAATTTAGATATATTTAGAGTGAAAATACCTATGAATTACAAATAAAAATTAAATAACAAAAATTACCAAAAAAAATTAATCAACAAAAATTAAATAATCAAAATTAAATAACTAAAAATTCTTTTAAAAATAAATTAATAAAAGTCGTGTTAACCTTTGCATCATTCTTATTGAAAGGGTAAGTCAAAAATTCGTGGTTAGCAATTAATACAAAAAAAAAAAATGATGTTTATCAAGCTTAATTTTAAAAGTTTAACAATATATGGAATTCAAGATATCTTTAGAGTGATAATACATTAGAAAGCTATTGAAGGATTAAAAATAACATAAAAATTAAATAACAAAAATTAAATAACCAAAACTAAATAATCAATATTAAATAACTAAAAAAAACTTAAAAGTAAATTAATAAAAGTCGTGTTAACCTTTGCCAAGGGATAAATCAAAAATTCGTGGTTGTCAATTAATACAAAAAAAAAACCTCTCTTTTTTAAAAGAAAAAAGCATCTTTGGAATAAAAGCATTTACCAAACAATATTAATGTATTTCAAATATAAAAAAAATAAAAAACTAAATAATCAAATGAAATGTAAAATATTAAATAAAAAAATGAGAAATTTTAAAATATAAAAAAATAAATAATTTAAAAACATAAATATATAATTAAAACTTTATTAATTTTTATATGTATATTAGATTAAATAAAGCTAACCTAAAACTTTTTAATTAGTTAATTAAAAATTAGCATTTCCAATCATGTGGGAGATACGAGCTGCTAATCTTTTAGCATCGTTTTGACCTTTCTTATCTCTTAATCTTCTTTCACGTTCTTTTTCTTCTAAGTTGTGGGTAAATTCATTGAATGGGTGATTACCGAATTTACTGAAACTCATACCACCATTACCGAATTTGTTGAATTTATTTAAGTTGAAGCTACCAAAAGAGTTGTTTTCACGACCGAAACGATCAAAGATGAGATCTCTCTTGTAATTATTGTTATTGTTATAGCCTTTAGTAATTGTAGCATAGTTGAAACCAGTATGACGAAGTTTTGATTGACCACCACTGCTTTTGATAAGATTACTTGTTCTCTTTGCAAGAGCTTGATGTTGTCTTTGTCTACCTTTATCTTTGATACGAGCTTGACGTTCTTTTTCTTCTAAGTGAATAATCTTTTCAAGTTGTTTACCACCTCTTCTTAAAGTTGATCTTGGGTTCATACCAAGTGATTTCATGTAACGAGAAACTTTTTGAGCATTCTTCTTCTTTTCATTTTCACCTTTAACATCTTTAATTCTACGTTCACGTTCTTTTTGTTCTAATGATTTAACAAGTTTCAAATCTTGAATACTTGATTTACGGAAGGAAGCATCTTCGAAACGTGAGACCTTACGATTACTGAATACATCATCACGAACACCACGGCCAGCAATCCAACTTGAACGTGATAACATTGGATCATTTTCTTCCATTCTTCTTCTTCTTTCTTGTTCTTCCATTTCGATAATATTTCTTCTGCTACTATGTTCTTCACTACCCATAAGTGAAATATGTTGAGTATTTTTACCACCAGTCTTTGGAATTAATAAAACCAAAACACCATTTTGGAATTTAGCTTGAATTGATGATGCATCAATTCCTTCTGGTAAAGCGACTGCTCTATGAAATTCACCGCCACTATAACGTTCACGACGATGGAATTTCCATTCATCTGATGAATGATCCATTCTTTGACCCTTAATTGATAAGAAACGACCATTTACTTGTACCTTTTTTTAAAAAAAAAAATACATTAATACTTTAAATTTAATATTTATTTTTTTTATAAATTTTATACATACATCCAAATCTTCACGACGGAAATTTGGTAATTCTAAAATTACTTTATAATAGCCTTTGTTTTCGCAAACATCCATTCTTGGCTTCCAACCCCAATCCATTGATGAGGCAGCTGATGGAGCAGAATCGGTCCAATTTCTTAAAGTTTCGTCAATTGAATGTCTAAGATTACTTAATTCTTCCCATGGATGGGTTAACCAATTAATGCTCATTTTGTTTGTTTTATTAAAATATTTTATAAAAATATAAAAGAGTTATTTAATTATGATTTTAAAAAAAAAAATATATATATTTATATATGATTATAATAATATTATTTATATAAATTATATTTATTATTAATGAATATTTAAATTATAATTTATATTTTTAAAAAAAGAATTATTTTTATTTTAAAAAATAAAAAATATAAATAAAAAATAATTTTATAAATAAATAATTTTTTTTTTAAAATTTAATAAAATATTCGAATCGATAAAGAAGGATAAAATAAAATAATAGATGCTATCCAAATAAGTGGGGTGATATTGTATTGGTGATATGAGATTAATGAAATAATAACATTTAAAGTAGTCGTGGTGGTAGAGTGTGGGGTGGAATGTGGTGAGTTTATTGAATAATCTGCCTGAATTAGTAATTAAAAAATATTATTTCCAAACCAAAATCGAAATAATAAAAACACATTATTTTAAACCCACATTAAAGTAATTCTTTTTACTTGAAATTTTTATTTCAATTTAATTTTAACACACAACCACACTTTTGAAAATTAAAAAAAATTAAAAAAAATTAAAAAAAAAAATAATTTATTGGTTGTAAAGAAAAATAATTTACTTTAATTAAATTTTATTACAATGAATATTTTATATTACCATTTTGATTTTATTATTTTTTTTTTGTTATTATGGAAAAATTAAAAAAAAAAAAATTAAAAAAAAAAAAAAAAAAAAAACAATTATTTGAATATCTTTTTACATGCTATTTTAAACTAATACTAATTTTACAATTATTGAACATTTGAAAGTAAATCTGTTTGGAATCCAAGTTCAGCCTAAATTAAATTAAAAATATTAGCTCAAATTTTATATTATAAATATAATATATTTAATATTTACCATTAATTTTTTAAAACCATCAATAAAATGTTTAGAAAATTTCTTTAAAATTTGGGCTGGTACTACATCATCCAACTCATCCTCATCCAACTTCATTAAATTTTCTTCCTCTGCTGATCTTTGCATTAAATCTAAAAAACCCCGAAAATCACCACCATAGTAGTTTTTGATTGATAATATCTAAAATAAAAAAATTTATTAATAATAATTTCAAAATAAAAATATTGATAATATTTAATTTAACTGCATACCTGATACATTTTTTTAATTGCATCACTGGTTAAATATAATTCGTTGTGGGCATCAAACTTTTGAGTGTAATTTGGGTTTTCTGTAAATAGTTTTGTGAACCTAAAAAAATAAATTAATATTTGTTTGAGTAGTGTTATTTATTATTTCTATCTATTTACCATTCTACAAAAATTCTATCATCATTTGAAATTTCGTTCCACATTTTTAAGGTACAATATGCTTGAAATTTAGATTGAAAATCGTCTTTCCTACCATTTAATAATGCTTGAGATGCATACGTCTTTGCAAATTCTAAAATGTCATGGAAATAAAATCTACCGGTCCTCCTTTTATCGATTACAAATAATGTTCCAAGATGGCAAACGTCGATTGTACTCTCCCTGGGAGGTTGCATTAATAATAACTCATCCAATAACTAGATAGATTTGTTGTGAGATTTTTTTTTATAAAAAAAATTAATAAAATAATAATAAAAAATAAAAAAGATTATGATTAAGATATTATTTGAAAAAATTTTATTTTCGATAGGTAAAGTTAATAATAGATACAGAAATTATCTTTTGATTAAATAAAATTTAAAAACAAAAAAAAAAAAAAAAAAAATGCTACAAATAAATATTTTTTACAATGCAAGAAAAACAATTTCTATTTTTAAATTTTACTGGTTGTTTATACATTATAATGTTAAATTACAAATATTGAAAGGGAGATAAAGAAGTTTTTTTTTTTTTTGTTTTTTTGACTGGGTGAGAATTTGATTTAAAAGGAGATTTAATAAATTAAATTATTTATGTTGTAATTTATTTATATCTATATTTGATTAGTTCTTTTGTTTTTTTTTGTTTTACCCCTTTAACACAAAACACTTATAATTTGTTATTATTGATTGTTTTTAATTTAATAATAGAGTTATATTGAACCCCCATCTCTTTTATAATAATTTTAGCGAAAAAAAAAAAAAACAAAACAAAATAAATACCCCACTTTTAAAATACAAACACACTTTTTGTATTGTGCGAAAATTTGATGTGTGTAAATACGTGAATATATAACACACAACTTTAAAAGGATGATATATTAAAGCTAAATCGCTTTTGAGAGATGGTGTTATGTGATAAATTATGATAAATAATAATTATATCATTATGCAATTATTTGTATCTTTTATTTCTATTATTATTATAATAATTATAATTATTATAAATAAATAGTCAAACACATACCAAGTAACCTCTATTTGTTGCATCTACTCTTTGAAACTCATCATGAATTGAATTTGTTAATGATTCTACGTTTCCCATTATAATGTTAATTATTTAATTTATTTTTTTCTCTCTTTTTTTTATATATTGAAATTTAAAGAAAACTTTAACACACAACACACAAAAAAGAATATAATAAATACACAAGAAAAAAAAAAAAACTAGTAATGTGTGAGATATAATCTATTTTTGCTCATATTTCTATAAAAAAAAAAATTAATAAAA